GTGGTTGAACATTAAAATATTCAGAAGTTGTCGAACCATATAAGCAGCACCTAGCACTGTGAAGTAAAGTGCAAACAATGTACATTTTCCCCACTGCGCTGAGTTGAACTTTTAAATTCTTTTTGAAGTCTAAGAATTTAAAGTAATTGATTATGTCCTTGAAAATCCATTCGACAGATACCCTCACACTCACACTACCCATAGCACTATTCCAGTCCTTCCCATTCTGTGTCATCCTTGCTACCTGAAAAGGACCTTGCAGTTGTGGACGATGGGGATAGGCGGGATCACCATAAATACATATTGGGTCTCTATTTATGTTAACAGCATATTGCACCAGTTGGTTATATAAATTAGATTCAGCTAACATAGAACTGTCATGTCGTTTTCCCTCCACTGGGCCAAACAAATTAGCTACCACAGCAGACCGTTTGGAACCGCGTCCGACTGAAATTTTATTGCGTGAACTTTTCTGTGGCCATTGTACAGAACTCTTTAATTTTTGCCAGGTCGGGAAACAGGCCTCACCGTTCCGTCCACAAAACCAAAACAATTTTGTAAAGCACTGCCAGCCTGAAAAGTAGCATTAACAAAGTTCTCCAAATTATCAGGGGAAAGCCAAGGTTGATTGAGTGAGCTTAGCAAATGGTTCCAGTGCGTATATAGATAGAATCCATAACCAAATTACTTATCATACAGAGTTGAGGCACGGGCCTAGCAAACCTTGGAATCATATGTCAAGATAGCAGTAAGGATAAGCAAATTGTTTTAAAAAGATGCAGAGGCTATCAGTGCCAACTTTTGTCCAAAGGAGCCGGAACATTGATGACAATAATACACGTTACTTTAAACTCCCTTTTGTCGGCTATTATTCTAAAATAGCGAACCTGCGTATAACAACAGAATAAACAGAGAATGCTGAGAGGAAAGGGCGTAACCAGGCTACCGCCCCTAAAAGAGCGACAGACTTCTGGAACAAGTTACCTAATTACAAATTCAGTTCGGAGGATGTAAGGTACAAGTTGCTTGCACAGTAAGTCACCTTAAAAGAAAGAAGTCTTGGACGTGCTAAATCAAAAATTAAGAACTATTTTCCTAGTTGGGAATTCGACATGGAATAAGCCTGAAAGTGAGACTAAAAGGGATTGAAAATATAAGAAGAATGATTTCCCGGGAGTTACTCTCCAGAGGTCAACTTTGACCGGTGCACTAAC